TGCAACGTGGGCATTCATCTGTGAAATCAAAATCTCTGCACAGAGGCCCAGGTGCCTGATATTGGCACGTTCTGGCTTTCCAGTGGTGCATTGCAACAAAATAAAACAGATGCTGACCATACACTCCCTGTCAAACATTTTTATACTAAAAAAACACCAGTTTCCTCTTTGAGCCCTATCATGCTGGTATCATTTGCATGTTTTTTAATGCAGTGTACCTTAAGTGACATCCTTCCTGCAGTCACAGGAGTAATGAGACTCTTGATGTGCTCTAGAAACCTGTTGAATGAACGCTAAGTGGGGAATTATTTAAATGGAACAAGGTGTCTCAGAGGATCTCAGCAAATGTATGTGATATAAATATCTTCAAATTCATTATGCATGCACAGTGGGACTGCTAGATCCACAGATTTACCAAATGTATGACTGCCCTTCCCAATTAACCACTACTTCAATATGTTCTACATTGTTGGTCAACAATCTCAAAGGCTTGTTAGCGAAAACGCAACAATATATTGTTTAGTATATTATTGTTAATTGCAACTTAAAAAACGAAGCAGACTTGCCAGGAATCACTTAAATAATTTGACGTAAAGACATATTTATGTTAAAGAAGCCAAAAATCCAACATTCGTTTTTATTTGGAACAGTCCGAGAAAACAGGCAATATGAAGAGTAGTCCATAAAGATTTACTTTTAAAAGGCTTTTTTTCTTATAGAGGATGCAAAAGAGACAGTAATATATAATAGTAGCAATTAAGGTCACTGTAATCGAACATAACTCTTGCAGAGTTCATGGTCCCTGATATCTCCCCAGCCCCCGTTTTTCACATGTGGGGCCACCCCCCCGGCTCCGTTGGCTGGCAGTCTCTTTGTTATCAGGAGGTTCTTTGGGAACAGCTGGTTCCCGCTGCTCTGGAGGATGTTATGTATCTTGGTTTTCTGGCTTACTGGCATGCAAGCAGTCTTCTTGTGGTGCATGCCGCAGTCCCCGGCGTGGAAAACCCGGGGCGCCTCACTGACCATCACCTTCCAGTAGGAGGGCAGGCAGGACACCGTCAGGTGCTGTAAGGACCAGTCCCAGTTGTAGTCGTCATAAGTGCAGAACGTGTCGGTGCATTTGATGAGCTTCTGGTACGTCTCTCTACTCAGAGCCATCCCCATGTTGTGCTCGGTGGACTTCCAGGCCTTCACCTCCACCCTATTCGCTTTGCTGGAGTAGCCGATGTGGCTGTAGCTCCCCAAGGAGAGGATGTCACAGTCTGGACACTGCTCCCTCTTGAGAGACGACATGAGCTTTAAGAGATGGATAAAGTCCGGGGACATGTAGTGGTCCTCCTCGATCAGCAGGACCATGCCCTTATGTTCCTTCAAAACCCGGACTCGGTCCCACACAAAGTGCAGCTTCCACCACCAGTGGTGCTTAGTCTGGGAGAACTTCGCCTCGCGGTAGTGGCCAAATGAGTCAGGGTACTCAGCGTTGATGCATCCCAGCTTTAAGGCATCATTTTTGGGAAGGTCTCTAGGGCAGTCCTTAGGGTCGTGTCCGGGGAACTCTTCGGGGTACAACTGGATGCTGAACGGGAAGAAAATCTGAAGTACCTGACAAAAGTCAACAGAGGCCACCACTTTATTTATCTCGGGAGACCAGTAGTCATGGCTGAATATCAGCAGTATGTGCTCCACCCCTCTGACCTTCTGCAAACTGTCCACTAATAGCTTCAGGTAATCCGGTCGATTATGGACCTGAACCACCACAACAAGATCGTCCTTCTGTCGAACCGCCTTAAACTTTTCCTCATTTCTTATCGTCTGGTCAAAGTTGAGCTGGAAGACAATGCTGCGGTAGACTAAAGTTGTGTTATCCGTCTCCAGCTTGGGTATCTTCTCTTTTTCCTTTGCTTTTTCTTGGTGTGTGTCATTTGCATGTATAATGGGGGGTGGGGCAGGTGCCTTGCTGACGGCAGCGGTGGCTTGCACCTGGATATGATTGTTGATGCTACTGCTGCTGCTGCTGCTCACGCTGCTGCCTTTCCTCACCGTCTCCACTTCCTTGGGGAGCGGCCCGCTGTCGTTCTTCTTCTGCCTTCCACTGCTCCAAAAAGCTAGGCCACAGATAACAACCACCACAGTCAGTATCACCACCTTCCTCTTGTAGATTCGGAATCTCATGATAGGGGGTCAGCCTCTTGCGCAGGGAGAGAAGTTGCAGGGAAACAAAAAGCCCAAATTTGCAATTGTGATATTGTGCTTTAAAAGGGGAGCAAGCCTGATTAGAAATAAGCCGATATGAGGCTAATAGTTGGCAAAATTAAGGGTTGTTGTAAACATGGGTCCCACTGGAATGTCATTGATGCTGGATGATTGTTCCATAAGGCATGGCGGTAGCTGGGAGGCAGCAGGGTAGCAGTGTGCATGAACCACCTAAATGGAAAATAAATCAATCAATACAGTCTGGTGCATAGAGGCAGTTAAGGCTGAGCAATATGGCACATGTATGCAAATTACAATAAGAAACATGTAAAATAGAGAAAATAATCATATCAAAATTGTACAGAATCTAGAACTAAAACGCACAAGTAAACAAATCATCCAATTTATGAATTATCAAAGTGTTTGTGATTATTTGTCTGTGTAAAGTACTAGACTAGGCTAATTGTTTCAGCTGCACAACTCAGCGACTTCCATTTGCTAATGACAACCTTGAGATGCATTGGAAACCTTGTCGGAGCAAAACAAAATCCGATAAGTAATTTTGTTGGATTTCAATTTAGACAGCAGAAATCTGCTCTAATGGAAGCACACTTACAGCAATAGAAATTATTTCATTTCCCATAACAGGAAAAGTCACTATGAAAAAGTATCACTAAACCACATGCATATTAAAATGCATTACTGCTGATGCATCTGTTCATCTGAAGTGATATCATCAATGTTGATTAATTCTCAATGCTTCTTTATGTTCCTCTGCATAAATCTCTGTCCTCAACTGCATTATCAATATTGATTACCCCTCTCTGCTGAAAAAACCTCCATATTTTCTTTGTTATTAAATTAGTGTGCTTCCTACGTGAACCTTGTATCTGTATGCGACTTCTCCCCTGCCTATTCAACTGAACGGCCACTGCCTTGCACTACCGGCATTGTATATATATTAGAGTCTATGATAATGATGATCAATACATTTCAGTTGGCTACAATAAAACTCAAAGTAAAACAATAAGCATGCACTTTAAACATGTACTTTATCTATGCATTTATGGCTGATTAAATGGCAAAGCTATCTGACCCATATAGCTGATGTACATGACTCTATACGATTTTCTCCGTTTAATGGATTCCATACAGTTGAAGCTCGCCAAATGAAGTGAATCTTTTGTTCTGCAGCTAAACAGCACTTCCATTTGTATACCTCGTATGTTTTATCTTATAACCTGAACTGCTTTTAATCGAAAAAACAGTGTCTATACATCTTATTGCCTTCTCTACTAAATGTATTTTGTAATGGAAGCCTTCTTCCCATGAGTTTTTCTGTCCTGAATTGGCCGCTGTCAGACACACCGAGCAAACGACAGCTTTAATCGATTTGAACACGATATAACGTTACCTTTATTTCACCGACTGATAGGAAACACTCAACTAAAAACAATGTTGTCGTCGCAGCTTCCCTCTTTTTACTGCGAGCATCCTGGAAATGCTAAGTTAGCTTCCGCTAGCAACTTACAGACAGCCCGACCAAACGGCGTCAACAACAGCGTCCATGGCGAGCCACAACAACCATGTCCACACAGCTTACCTCAAACGGGAGTATCCGTGCGGTCCTTTCAGCGAGAAACATCAGCACGGTGGCGTCCCATTTTCCTCCGCACCTTCATGGAAGCTGCACGGAAACGTAACTACCAGCTAGCTCTACAAATCCCAAATACGGACCCAGTGCCTGCCGCTGTCCCACAATGCACTGGTCCAGAGGGGGGCACCCAAGACACCCTAAATATCATATATCCCTGCTGCTGACAGTGTTTGTCATCATAGGGGAGATGGTTGACTATACCTTTAAAAGCTTAACAAGTTCATACTAGGACCTACCCTAAAACTGAATTTTGTAAAAAATGTTTTCTTGTGTAAAGTTCATACTGACTAACGTATTACTTTATCCTTTATACTGACACTATACAAATAAGACATTCATTTGTGTCATGTGGTATACTATTCATATAAGCTTTGTCATTTAAACACCTGAACTTTTTTAGGAACATCCAGAAACATTCATCTGTTCGCATCTTGCACATTATTTATTTAATATCATATTCCATTTACTTGTACTCTTCTTGCACGATTATATTTTATTTGTATTTACTTGCACATCTCAAAACATTCTCTTGCACTATTTTATCTGTTTTAACTGTTCTATGTACTAGATATATTCATGTTGCACTTTTGGAGGAGCCTGTGACCTAAGTTTTTCATTGCCATGTGCAAATGACAATAAAGCCTTGAATCATTAGACACAAGTTAAAAAAATTATGATTACGTTTGGGAAACATTAAATATCACAATTGCATAGCAGCCTACGTGGTACATAAACACATACAAATATGAACTGACAATGTCTGTACCAAAAATGTACAACCTTGTCCACTTCTGGCAACAATTTCTTTAAATGATACACTCTCTTGTTGGTGATACTCTTTTAAAAATACATGAATACTTCTTCAATATGATGTAACACCAAATGAAAAACATTAGTTTGTCATATTCAACCTTTAGTTTCCCTCCTAAAACGCCTTTTATTTATCCAGTTAACCCAATTTTCATAACATAGCTTCCTGACATTCTTAGCTATTTAAATGGCCAGTGCAATAAATGCCTCCTCTGTGTTTGCTGTAACGCCACCTCCAGGCCATTACACTCCTCTCTACATGCAGCAGTTCTCTCCATCACGAGAGGGCGCCAAACAAAAACTCCACAGCCGGAAATACGTAATCTGAAAGCTTCATTTGCGCACGCGCAACCCTTATTCTTCCTTTCCGACGCTCGAGCGAGAGAGACAAGATGGGCCATCAGCAGCTCTATTGGAGTCACCCCAGAAAATTCGGCCAGGGATCCCGATCCTGGTCAGTTTTGCCTTAAACGTGTCATTTATCAATATATGTGCTAAAGCGGGTCAGTTTTGAGGTATTTGTAGCTTCCCATACTTTAGAATTTATCACCAAATGTGCACCGCATGGGAACTCCTGTCGAGCCAATATGGCGGTGGAAGGATGCCCCGTGCTAACCTGTTAGCACCTAGCATTTTGTTAAGTCAGCCTCACCTCGTTTCTGAAACAATACAACTCATTGAAATATAAGAGGGCTAATATGTTCAAATTGAGTTCTGGGAAAGTGTCTCGTTAACTTTCTTAATTTGTAATATTGCTAACGATATGCTATAGGAGCTTACACCGTTCAATGATGATATTAGCAGTGATGCACACCAGCTTTGCTGAGTCTGTATAAACTTCCGCACCTCTAGTTGTGTGAAAGAATGTTAGTAAAGGATTATATTACCTGATATTTCGAATATAAGCGAATTAACCCCATATTCTTCTGCATTTCAGCCGGGTTTGCTCGAACAGACACGGTCTTATCCGTAAATACGGGCTCAACATGTGCCGCCAGTGCTTCAGGCAGTACGCTAAAGACATCGGCTTCTGCAAGGCAAGTATTATTATGCTTTATATCTAATTTGAGAGGTCATCCAAATGTTATCATTATCCGATAATGTTGGGATACTGGCAAGTAAAGTTAAAGGCTCAATGTAAACAAAGTAAATGCTACTGCATTGAAGGTAAAGCACAATAAATAACAGAAATATGTTGGACTGTATATTACTAGTGTCTTCATTTCTCTTATTGCCTTGTTTATGCTGCTGCCACGCAAGCATTTCCCAAATTGGGATCAATAAAGTACTTGTCTATCATTTACTGAAACGTTATATATATATCTTGCTTGTACTGCACTACATATGCAATGAATGATGGGTTGTAATATCCAACAATGTGGACTACCATATTCTTTACACCTGACTAATGCCTTGCTTCCTTTATTTTCCCACAGCTGGACTAAATGTCACGTCCTCAGATGGGTTCAGTCATCTCCGTAAGGCTGGCCGAGATGGGATAATTAGCACTGCAAATAAATGTGTTCTTTTGACCAAACTAAATCTTTTGTGGTGGTTCTTTCTGTACACATGTCAGTGATGTTATAGTCAGGAAAGATGGTTCTAAATAACACACTTAACAAAGATTACCCAGTTTTTATTGGTAGACAAAGACATTCACTTACAAATGGTTATATCTTATTGCAGACTAAATTGGCCTTCTGTGATTTGCAATACTTTGATACCATGGCAATCTTTAAGTCATCGCTAGAGAAACAAAAAATAATAATACAAATGCTGTTAACACCAGTGGTAACTTCCAGATGTCTTTGGATGCCAAATCCATGTTGAAACTAAAAGGCTATATTTTGTTGAGTATCTATCAGAATACCTTTATTAGTTTATAGAGGGGAAATGTACATTGTTACAGCAAAAGCGAAGATGGACATACAAATAAAACACTTTTTAAAAAAAAAGAAGGCATGCACATATTTTACATTTAAAGACCGACTCTTAAAGCGACATTTGAGACCTGTTTTACAAGACATGAGAAGTACAATTAGCAATTGTCTGAATATATTTATCTTTGTACTAAAGTATTATCAGCCAAATGTACTGTAAAAACAAATGAGCATTTTCATGTAATTTAGTTCCTAAATTTGGAGACAATATTGGTACTCAATACTAATGGGTAGATGAGTAGTAGTAAAATGCAAGCACATAAGATCTTTGGAGTAGAAGTAGCATTCAAGGATTATTACTGTTGAAATTATAATTAAGAATAGTACTTGGTGACATTCCACCACTGGAAATGTCTGAGCACAATTGATCTCTGCTGCTGTACATAATTATAAGTGGCACAGCAGTAAAGAGCAATGGATTCATTTCTAAGTCAGCATGTATTCACATGAAAGTCATGCCCCCATCCAGAATTGGCGAGATGCTGAGATATTGGTCTTGGTTGTGTGGCCCATTGCTCGGTGTATTCCATATTCGGCTACGACATTTTAAATATTAAGCTCAGCACTAACATGGCTAACAATTTGTTGTATAATTTCTCAAATCTCTTTTCAACAATACAATCAAAGATGCATCATGGCATGTGGGACTTTGCAGATCCTTGACCAGTGTGTATTTATTCAAATATGTCATTTTCTATCTGCCTTTTAAACAGAAAGTTAGGTGTGAAGCACTAGATGGCAGCAGCACTTCATGTTCGTGATCCAACACCAGTGTCAAATGAACTAACACTAGCACATGCAATCTTTATGTTCACACAGTGCATGCAGATGACCAGTTATATATACAGTTGCAAGAAAAAGTATGTGAACCCTTTGGAACTACCTGGATTTCTGCATAAATTGGTCATAAAATGTGTTCTGATCTTCATCTAAGTCACAACAATAGACAAACACAGTCTGCTTAAGCTAAAACCACACAAACAATTTTATATTTTTATTGAACACACCATGTAAAGATTCACAGTGCAGGGTGGAAAAAGTATGTGAACCCTTGGATTTAATAACTGGTTGACCCTCCTTTGGCAGCAATAACCTCAACCAAACGTTTCCTATAGTTGCATATCAGACCTGCACAACGGTCAGGAGGAATTTTGGACCATTCCTCTTTACAAAACTGTTTCAGTTCAGCAATATTCTTGGGATGTCTGGTGTGAATCGCTCTCTTGAGGTCATGCCACAGCATCTCAATTGGGTTGAGGTCAGGACTCTGACTGGGCCACTCCAGAAGGCCTATTTTCTTCTGTTGAAGCCATTCTGTTGTTGATTTACTTCTGTGCTTTAGGTTGTTGTCCTGTTGCATCACCCATCTTCTGTTGAGCTTCAATTGGTGGACAGATGGCCTTAAGTTCTCCAGCAAAATGTCTTGATAAACTTGAGAATTCATTTTTTTTCTCCACACATAGAGTTGTGTGTTCCTTCCAAACAACTCAACTTTGGTTTGGAACATCCAGGTGCTCTTTTGCAAACTTCAAACGTGCAGCAATGTTTTTTCTGGACAGCAGTGGCTTCCTCCATTTTATGACCAATTTATGCAGAAATCCAGGTAATTCCAAAGGGTTCACATACTTTTTCTTGCAACTGTATGTTATGCTTAATTGAGGTTGAGTGTTAGGTTTGAGATTCAGGTTTACAGGAAAACAGCACTCAAGAGAGGTTACTATATATACTGTTGAAAGAAAAACTCAATTTAAAAGATTGATTTATCACTTGGATTATTTATCAGGTGGAGGTTTGGGTTTGGTCATGTTTAATCCAAGGCAACAAAAAATATTCGTCAAAATCCTGTTTATCATAAGTAACAGATATTTTTGTGCTCAACTGCATTACTCTGCATCTTTCTCAATCTCAAATGGGTTAACTAAAATGTAGCAAAGATTCAATCCGATCATAACAAAGTGAAAGTTAAACAAATACACCATGGACACTTTCAGCACAAAAACAAACAAGTGATATGACGGATAAAAAATGTAATGTACTGTTTTTTTAAATGCTCAAATGTAAGCAGCAATGAACCAACACACAGATAAAGAAAACAAATCAATATTATGTGTTTGTTTTGGCATTTTATTTTCTGTAAAATATGTAAGTATGCATGATATAAACTTAAAACTACAGGCATAAAGGGGCTTGTGAGGACAGGCTGCTGTTTGGACGCAGGGAGATGAACCCACAAACGCTCCGTGTTGCATCAGTCCACTACGGAGGCGGCTGAAAGGTGTTGTCTTTGATGTTCACTTCACATCCTTGTTTTGTATCTCCATGAGTCTTAATCCTCCTGATATGCTGCCTTCTATTCACTCCACAGACAAGCGAGCGAGCGAGAGGACATGTTGAAAAGTCTGTTTCATCCAACATGAGCCCTCTCAACAAGGCCCTTTCTTCTTCTCTGTCTTTGTGTGGCCATACCATTTCGCTGGTCTTCTGTAAGACATGCTATTATAATCTATTCAGAGAGTAATGTCTGAAGCATTTTCAGAATAAGCTTCAACGGCCAATCTGAACACACAAGGCACTCGACTCCTTTTTTCCATGGTGCTCTTTATGTATACATACATTGACTTAACGGCTTGGGATAAGTAAGCTGGATGAAAAAAGAGTATTTGTATACAAATTATAAATTAAAAAAAATCTATATACATTTCAAGTGTCTTAGGGTATTGTAAACCATACAAATAGTGCAAGATTACTGTATGTACAGCATGTAAATGTTTACATAGCAAGCTGGATTTATATCCTCAAGCCATGGTGATATGTACAATGGGGCCTTTGGGATAAAACTGTTTCTCGTGTCTGGTGGTTTTTGCGCTCTGTAATAGTGAATATTGGCCAATAATTCAAAAGCAGATGGCCGTTATTTGCATGATAGGACACATTTAACCTCCTCAAAAAAGTTGCGAAAATACCTTCTTTCAGCCTCGTTCTGTTGTTTGAAATCAGGCTGAAAACAACGACAAAATTCAACTTAATGATTCTTTTTTTAACCCTCCTCTTATTTCTCAAAAATATTATTATATGTATTGTCCCGTTTGCATAAGTAGATCTGAAGTAAATAAATAAAATACAAACATCTATAGGGATCCATTTTCGAAAAATAAAATAATTTAGCTCAAGCAACATTAGCAGATAGCAGTATCTCCTTGTTTCTGAGCCACAACATAATCATGCATAAATACAAAATAAAGAATGTGCGTGTAGTGGCCTTCCCTGGTGTCGGCTCAGTGAACTACAATAATAAATAAATGATCAGCCTTATGTGCAGGTATTGGCCCAGTTTCTCAGTTTACCACTACTTTATAGCACTTACTGGAGGTACTGTTGGATGACAGGTTGGCACCGGGGATTTGCAGTCCTGACTGTCTGTTTGGTGTCCAATCCAAACCAGACATTGATGGATGTGCAGAGAACAGACTGAATTATTGCAGCGAGAATTGGATCAGCGGCTCCTGAGGCAGACTAAACTTGGTTAGGCCTGCTGCAGGATGTGTCATCTTCAAAATTCAGCAGTTTGTGTTTTCCTCTCAGAAACTCAGATACTTACCTCTGTGACTGGATTGCAACAATAAATGAGAGCATGGGCCGATTATGAGAAAATAGGGCCCTGTGCACTAACATGCAAAAGGCCCCATGAACACCTATTCTTGTTTTTGTTAGCTTTTTGTTGTTTTTATACCTCTCTGTGTGTCTCTTTATAGTCATTTTGAATATGTTGGCAGTGATGTTGTGTCTCTTTGTGGTTGTTTTGTCCCTTTTCATGGTTGTCTTGAGTCACTTTCTGGTGTCTTTGCAGCTGTTCTGCATCTCTTTCTAGTTTTTTGGGTCTCTTTGTAGTTAATTTGTTTCTTTGTGGTGATCTTGAGACTCTTCCTGTTTCATACAGGTGTATTTGATACACATATTGTAGGTGAAAGCCAGAGGGGCCCATATTCTACAGCAGGTAAGTATTACATTTGCATAAAAATTGGGGGTAATTATTTAAGCAGCAAAAACATTAATCAGCCTGTGGGATGAATTTGGTTTGTTTGTTGGTTTCAGTGTCTGTATGTCAGCAGGATTACAGGAAAATTACTGACCTGAATTTCATGAAACTTGGCAATAGCGTGTAGCACTAGCTACTGAAAAACCCATAAAAATTCCCAACACATACACGATAAACTGATTCCGCTTATGTAAACGTCCTTGGTGGAGGTCTGTGCTTTCTGAGTGCCCTTCCAGTTGACACCTATTCCAACAGTGGCTGCTTATGTGTTGCAGCACTGGAATGTACATGTGGAGAAATAAATCATGTGTTGCTCTGAAAAACTCTGTGCACCCATGTAAGCATGTCAATAATACCCCCTTATACATATATAATTGTGTGCACTCTGTGGTAACAACCACATCTTCACACTGAGAGTAAACCTGACTAAAACACTAGCTCGAGCAAATCAGAAGGGAGCGCTTGTTTGATGGCGCGGGACCTCAAAGTCTCAGTGCTGCTCTGACTGCATGCCAGGCACATCACAGAGGCTTTCCATCCATCTCCGAGATTATAGGGAAAATAAG